GAGATCGTTGGGTATAAGTTCTAAAGTGCCATGGAGTGGGTTCCGACTCATTGCGACTTTGTATGTAGTTTCTGAGGCATGTAAAGCTTTGCGGGAGCAGAAAGCTTCATTTTTCTCTCACAGAGGCCCCAATAGGGCCCAGTCTTGTGGAAGAATCAACTGCCCATTATTCTCGTCATCCCTTTTCCTATCCCCTAATGGATTAAGTTTAAGAACCAATGGATACTTGGACAAATTAAACCCTTCATAACTTTGAACCAACAATTCTGCCCTGTGAAATGCATTTCTAAGAGCTCTTTGCATAGCTCCATCAGGTTACATGTGCAAGAATATTCATAAGAGTATAGTTTTTGGTGGTGGGGGCCTAGAGGGGCCTACCAGATGTCTCACATTGGAAGAGAGGAGAGGGTAGGTGAAATGTGAATGCATGTCATGAAGCATTAGAAACAGAAACAATAAAATACATGTGCAAATAATAAAAGAGATGAGCCTTTTAAAAAGAATGTGTAGTGGGAAAAGTAATAAACAGCATTTTATTATATACATAACAATCTTCTATAAATTAAGAACATACACAGAGGTGCATAGTAAGTATAGTAGAATGGTTACCTGTTGAGGGAGGGAGGATGGAACTGAGATAAGAAGATAAAAGAAAATTCTTAAAGAACAAAACCTAAATGACAAGATAGGCATATCTTACTCTTAAGAGATCATGGAGTCAGGCTCCCATGCAACCATTTAAGAACATGTTTTGAAGGTGAAAACAGTATGGATAGGTATACAGATCCTCAAGTATGTACAAAATATATATGCGTAGAAAAATCCATCAAAATGTTAATAGTATCTCTAAGAGATGAGCTCTTATATGATTTAATTCTTTATACATTCTGTATTTTCTAAATTGAGTTATTATTTATATATAAAAATCCATAAGAAGTAAAAATTTAAAAACATGATGGATTCCAGTCAAAATAAAAAGCAATGCAGTGTTGAACTGTTTGGGTGTCAGGGACCATTCACCCATAAAATTGTCTCTAGGTTATCAATGCCTGGAGGGAAGGAGGGCAGGCCCACCTGAGGAGGCTGAGGAGGCCTATCAGAAATTAGAGTGTCAGTCCAACTCCCCTCTCCTTTTCATCCTTATCTAGCTCTTGGAGCAAGCCCTGGTGATTGAAGAACAGCTACGGCGGGCAGCATACTTGAACATGTCAGAGGACCCTTCTCACCCTTCTATGGCCCTGAACACTCGCTTTGCTGAGGTAGAGTGTTTGGCCGAGAGTCATCAGCACCTGTCCAAGGAGTCGATGGCAGGAAACAAGCCAGCCAATGCAGTCCTGCACAAAGGTAGCCAGTGGCTCCCCTGCCTCGTGCTGGTTCAGTTTCATTCTCCTGCTGTTTCCAAAACACACACTTCTTGTCAGACCTTTTTTCAGGACCCCATTTCAGGCCTCACCTTTTTCAGAGCTTGAGATGTGCTGGGGACCTTTGCTTTCTTCCTAGGAATTTAATATCTCAGAAGCAATCAAGGACAGCTGTTCTTTCCCTCTTTTAACTCTTAATATATTCAAGTTCTTGGAGGTGGAAAGCAAAGCAGAAAAATGTAGTGTCATCTGGGATACATTAGAGGTAATGGTCAGGTGCTAAAAAATTCCTTCAAATTCTAGACCACTTTCAATATTGTGCTCTAATTAAAGAGTAATATTGCAAGGAAAGTGGAGAGTGAAATGAGAAAAATGGCTGTTAAAAGGGAGTCAAGACAGATCCAGAAGGTGGAGAGGAGGAAAGACAAGAGCAAGAAAAGGAAGCAATAGAAATAAGCTTTTGCTGAGAAGTGGGAGAATTAAAGAGGCGAGAGAGCAAAAGAGAGTTCATTTTTTTAAAAAGCATGGAATCATGGACATTTGGAATTAAAACTTGAGAAATAAGAATTTGAGCATGGTAGAGGGCCAGGTTAAGTGACTCAGTGGCAAAAGACAACACTTTAACATTCTCACATATCACAGTGACTTGGTCATTAGAAGTGCTGGGGGCCTGGTCCACTGTAGTAGAAGGATCGGCTCACCATCTCTGTTTTTTGCCCCTCTGCCCCTTGCAGTTCTGAAACAGCTAGAAGAACTGCTGAGTGACATGAAAGCTGATGTGACTCGACTCCCAGCTACCATTGCTCGAATTCCCCCAGTTGCTGTGAGGCTACAGATGTCAGAACGTAACATTCTCAGCCGTCTGGCAAACCGGGCACCTGAACCTACTCCACAGCAGGTAGGGATGTTGTCTTCTGGAATTTGTAACTTTGTTCTATGTCCCTAGCTTTACATACTGAAGCAGGTAGAACTGTCTCATCAGTGCTTTTCCTTAGGATGGGGATGGATTTTTGTGGTCTGGGACTGAGACTCTTTTGGTTCTTTCCCTATAGGTAGCTCAGCAGCAGTGAAGGCCCAGAATGATGACGATACCACCTCCACCGCTGAGCAGTGACCTTCCTCCTTTCCATTGTCCCAGCTTCTCCCCTGGGGACCTGAGAGACCCTCCTTCCGTCTGCCCCATCTTCCATGTTGTAAAGGAACAGACCCTGTGCACTGGGGAAGGGGAGGGAGTGAGGGGCAGCGGTGCCCTTCCTGCTGGAGAGACAAGCAGCAGTAGCGCCGGCGCCATCTGCAGGGAGCTGGCGGGCTGGCCCTCGTCTGGGCCCTGGCTTCTCCCCACTGTAACGTCTGTTACACACAAACTGTTGTGGGTTCCCGCCAGGCTTGAAGAAAATGATCTGAATTTCTTCCTCCTTTTGTTTTTATTTTGTTGGTTTTATTTTGATCCTTTTTTTTGGGATATTCAGAGTGGGCCGGGCCCCTGGGCGAGACACAGCTACCTCTGTTGGCATCTTTTTAATACCAGGAACCCAGCGGCTCCAGCCACTGAGCGGCTAGAACGAAATAAAGTGAAGGAGAAAAAAAAAAAAAA